AACTCTTGAGGGACAATATTGAGGACAAAAAAACCCAACCCAACATTAAAAAGGGAAACAGATAAAAACTTCTTTTTCTAGAGCACAAATATTTCACCTTTCAATTCTAAACAAGGTCCTAGGGCATTGAGGTTGTTTTTGTTTTCCTTGGTACCAGAGCTCAAAAAACATGTCAGGAAAACCCAGTGACCTAAATGAGGTCCTAAGGACGTATTTTGGTTATTATCAGAGAACTGCAAAGACGAACAGGATGCAACCTTCAGAAATCAAGTGGTTTCTGATGGGGAGAGATTGGTGAAGCACAGATATGGTAAACAAAAGCAAAACAAAATAACAGCATCCACGAAACGGGTCCTAAAACCTATTATCCTTGTTTACAATGAAGCTCTTCATGAAGGCAAATGGATCGAGTGGTTTCTAAACATGGATATAACCATTTGTACAGCATCTCTAAGCACCCACACCTAATTGCATCTTCCTGTCAGAAGAATCTGATTTTCATTTCAGAGCTTTGTACCACTCAATACTAAGCAAATTCTCACTAGTCCTGTTCAAGGTTAGAGGCCAGAACTTTTAGTGAGGGGATAATCCAGTTATTAAGGCTATTAAGGCCTTAGCCTGCAATACAAGAGACCCCAGATTTAATTCCTCAGGTCTTCTGTAGGCTTCCCATGCCATGTAATTACTTATAATCATTTATGTCACTACAGTAGTTGAATGTTCTTTTCCAGAGCTCTTAATATCATGGGTTAGAAAGCACTGTAACAGCTGTAAATCAGGGAGCTCGAGTTCATTTTTTTTGGAGGTAAACACAGTAGTAATTAGAAGATGCTCACATAGTAATAATACTGTATCTAAAAGAAATAATATTAGCATCAGAAGGCTGTGAGAAAAAAATCTACATATTTAGCAGCTAGAAAATCTACTGTCTTCCTTCATAAAATAGCCACAGGGGAACAAAAAAGCCAGGTTCACCTCTGTGTTATACTGACACCTAAAAATACTGACCAAACATTATCAGTACAATGCAAATATAATACCTCAGCAGTGATCACATTTGTTATCACTCAAAAGAAAGTGCGTGGGTTTTTTCCATGTCAGTCTAGAGCCCCAGACAATCTCATGACGGGATGTTTCCTTCCCATTAAAGCCAACATGCTCTGATGCCTCTAAAAACTCAGCATAAGAAAGACAGAAGGAAATGAGGAGCTCTTTAGTGTACGGCTCTTGATCCCAAAAGCAGCTACTGTGAAGTTGCAGAAATTCAGGCTGTAGCCAACTATCATCAGTGCTGTAAAATAAGATGCAAAAGTCACCTCCAGGTAGCAGCCACCCAGGAATCAGAAACACTGAAGAACTGAAAGTCCAGTAAAAATTTCAGTTGCAACTTCCCACTGGTTAATCACAAGGCTCCTAGTTAATGTCCTAAATTTCAGCCTATTTCCCAAAGCAAACACTGCATAGTGCTTCTCTCGAGCAACACATGCATTTCAGAGAAGCAGTTTTGCTTTCATTTGTGTTTCACCAGCCACACATGATACAGCAGACAAACAGAGCGGCTGGAGAGAACTTTTTCAGCCAAGTAACCAGCAATTGCTAAGTTGACTATGCAGTTTTGGAGATGCTCGGTCAACCTCTGTTTAAATTCTTAGCTCTTTCCTCAGTTCTGGTCCTCTTTCTCCAGGGCCTCTCGTCATGCTGCCTGCCTGTTGATCACAGAAGTGCCCCACTGTTAAAAGCTGGTCTCTGAACATGGGCTAGAGTAGCCTGGGGTGACTGCAGCCTGCGCTCGCTGCTTCTACGAGGTTCCTATCAGAATTAGGAAAAGAAGCATTTCATCAAGAGGCTAAAACACAAATCATATTTTATTATACCCTGAAATTCCTGTTACGATGAGCATCTATCTGACCACATTTTACCTCCATCTCACACTTATGCAAGATACCTGCAACAAATCCAAACTTGGCTATTACTTGTCACTGCAGAAGAGGAATTGGCTCAGGCGTTCAAGAGCCCCAATCCAACAACATGAATGCTGCCCCAGAAGCTGCAATGAGTCTGAACTTCACTTTTTTTTTTTTTTTAATTTTAAATATGATGCAGGTTATTTCAAAAATCCAAGAGGGCATTCAGCATGACAAACAATCACTCCTGAGCACAGCCTGTGATTTCAAAGCACAACCCTTTGCTTCCTCAAGAAGTGGATGTTATTCTCAGTTGATTTCTACAAATTTGTTAGATGTATTTTCAGCTACAGAAAGTAGTTGCTCAGTTCATATACAACAGAAACCTTTCAGCAGAAAACTTCCAGATTCTCACTACTAAAGATCTGACGAAAACAAACTCTCTTCTTTCCTTTAAATGGTCCCATTATTCATTACCCCATTTCTTTCAGTCGGTGCTCCACAAGTTACTAAGAATTACTATCTTATCCAACTATTTCTTAAATCCTCTATTACCACAATATTTAATAGTATCCAGTCTTAAATGCATCTTTGTTCACAGTGCTTTTGCAAGGAAAGTGAATATTTTGATCCTTCTCTCTCCAAAGGGAGCTTAGAGATACAAAGTGATTTGATCAGGGACAGGAAGAAGTCAGTAGCAGAACAGCCAAATCAGGTCTCCTGATTCATAGGTTAACACCCTTGTCATTTAATCACCTTTTGATTCATTACAGTAAAGCCAGGCAGTTCCAGTGCACTAGACACTGTCTGTACATGCACAGCCCGAAATCTTATAGAGCTGCATTCCCACATCACAGGCAAAGATGTTAGGCATGCAGGTAAGACAGCTCCTGCGAAAATTCAGGCATACATGGTAGAATAAGGGCTAAGTGTAGCCAGCAACAGCTCTCCTCAAACCGTTTGCTGTACAGCCCCATTATTTTTCACCCAAACACACAAAAATCAAAACCCTGTCTTTGTATGTAGCTAGAGAGCAATCCCCAGGGCATGGCTGGCATTACCAACAGTCAGAACAAAGGACTATCATGAAGACTTCACTTCTTCGCCGCTGTAGTAGCATGCAAATCATATGGTCACTACTGATTAAATACTGTGTATACCTGCTGCTTCTGTTCTGGAAGATGACCATATGTTGTAAATCAATTAAGTCAGCAGGGGAATGCCCAGACATACAGACATGCACACACTTTGCTTGCCAAGTCAGCTAGTAAACCGTATAAAGGACATAACTATGCAAACACACCGAAGTGTGGCAGGATTTTTTTTGTTTGTTTACCTTTCAATCCAAGATAAGAAAAGGGTCAGGGTGAGGGTAACCGCAATTTCTGAGTGCCTGTTCCCCAGTCTGTTTTCTTTTGCTAGATTTAGGCTGAAGAAAGCCAGGACTGACAGCGCACAAACGGCCAAGGGAACTCACCGCTTTGAGGATTGCTACTGCGTCCTGCTGGAGCCACGTTGGGTAGACGACTTCGTCATTCAGAATGGCCTCAAAGAGGTCATCCTCATTCTCCGCCTCAAAGGGTGCGTGGCCACACAGCATCTCATACAGCAGCACGCCCATGGCCCACCAGTCAACGTCAGGACCATACAGCATCTCCTGCAAGATCTGAAGCAGCGATGGGAAAGAAATGTCAACTCTGAAGCTTCTTAAACTGAGTAGAGGAGGAAAACGGATTTGGAAACACTAACATAGAAGTTCTTGCTGCGTCCTAACAGTGCTCTCTGCTAGACTGGCTGGATGTCCAGGAACATATAGGTGATCTCAAGCTGGAAACCCCCAGATCTGCACTAAGGTACATCAGATCCACTATACAAGGGCTGAACTAGCTCAGCTGCTCACAGAGTCACCTAGGAAACAAGCCCTTAGAAATAATGCTAGGGCTTAGCAAGAGGAGAAGGGGCATTTCATGGAAACTGGCTGAGCCTCAGAAATGGCAGAGCAGCCATGTGTGCGGGCTGACATCACATTTTCCTTGCCTCTGGTAAGGAAATGCTTACCCAGCTCCAACAGCAATGCTTTCAGCTGGAGAGGGGAAGGAACACAAGTGTGTGAGAAAGGCACAAGCATCAACCACAGACAAAAATTCAATTGTGTTGAAGAAGGATCTGAAACCCTGTCAGAACATCTGGCAGCATCTGGAGGGCAGCTGTTCCTTAAAGAGGTGTTTAGTAATTTTGTAGTGAGATTGGGGAATGACAGGGAAGGGGAGGAGGTAGAAAAAGGAACTGCAAAAGGAGGCAGAATTCTATCTCCTTTCAAATCAAACTAGGCCAGTATCTGTCAGTGCCTCTCAAGATTTTTGCAGCTGTGCCTCCATTTTTCACCTCACATTTCCTGAAGAAAAATATAGGCTTATCTTGGTGCCTACAGCAGCCTGAAGATTTACTCATGCTTTGCTTGCACAAGGGACTGATAATACAAGCATGCACCTAGGAGGAAACCTTGCACCTGGCAGTCAAATAAGGTGCAGCTAAAGACAACAGAGAGTACACTTGCTGTTCCAAAGCTAACCTACGCTTTTCATATTGTAACCAAGTTTTCTTGGCCAAAGAAAGGTTTCCTATACCTCTGGAGCAATGTAGTCTGGTGTACCACAGAAGGTAGCTGTGGTAATGCCATCATGAATGCCCTCTTTGCACATTCCGAAGTCTGCCAGCTTGCAGTGACCCTCGTAGTCCAGCAGCACGTTGTCCAGCTTCAAGTCCCTGCAACGAGAATCATTCACCGAGTCACTACGTGCTTGGACCAACCCCAGCACAAACGGAGGCAGCGTCCCAGGCCTCAGAAGCTTAACCTGTAAACTGGACAAGCACCATCATCATAAAAAAATAAACAGAAGTCATGCAGGAGAAGTTTTCTTTTGCTTCATCTCTTACAAAAGGGAGGGAGGAACAAACATCATTCTGCCAAACTGCATTTAATATAGGCAGGTGCTATACGAGTTCGCCCACACGGCTTTCCAAACACACCGCAAGCCTGGCTGGCAGAGCTCCTGCTCGTTTAGCTCTGGGACTCACTGGAGCAGAGGTTGCCAAATTGCGTAACGATGTTATGATGCAGCAAAACGCACCGCACACGACGTGCTCTGATTCAGCAAAGCATGGTGCTAGGAGCGTGCAGGCAAAGCCAGGGAGGCATGTGAGGCCTCTTCAGAGGGGGAACAGATTCCCTCTTCTCCTGATGCGTGAGGGGTTAAGTCCTGGACTTCGCTGTATTGGGGCAAGCCTGACTGATAAACCTCACCTGCAAAGTTATCCAAGCTGAGAAGAAAAGAAACTCCCTGCCGACACCACGCCACGTGGGCAGGGTGAATCTTCAGCCAGCATGGGATGCCTCATTCTTAAGGCAAAGTGTTAAAGTCATCCCAGGTGTATTGATTCCAGCAGGACTGCACTACTGTAAGAAATGAATGTGCCCCATCATCTTAAGGCAAAGTGTTAAAGTCCTCCCAGGTGTATTGATTCCAGCAGAACAGCACTACTGTAAGAAATGAATGTGCCCCATAGTGCTCATTGGGGTGGGGACCTCCTTGTCACTGTCACAAGAGACCCGCATGCTGTACAAGCTACAGAAAGGCACATTTTCCATTATGTCACCTCTAACAGCCTGGGATCTCCTCATCAAAAGCAGAGCTGCCAAAATGACAAGAGCCCTAACAAAGCTTAGCAGCTTGCCTAACCTTGAGATTGCCTCAAGGAATAGCCTGCAGTCAGCAGTGCCGTCAGGAACACAACCAGAAAGCATGGGGTCATCTGCAGACTTAGGCAACACCTTCCTAAAAATACACACCAGCTCGTAGCACCTCTGCTTTTCAGCTGCCAGACAAGCTCTAGGCACTGTCACAGATAGAGGAAAGGAGCCTTGATGGGAGTTCTGTGCAGTACAAATAAGTCATAGTTCATTTTTTGAACTGTCTCAGGTATTGGCACAAGAGTTGTCCAGAGCCCTCACAGCAGGTCTGAGGCAGGGAAGTGTCACCATTGCCATTTTACTGAGATGAAGTACACCTTATAGCCCTAGACAAAGCCACTTTCAAAGTCATTCAGATGCTCAGGTAAGGATCAAATAACCAAATACATTTGAAGGCCTTTCATGAAATTCATGCTGGAACTTGATCCATTTTGCCCTCTGGTTGGACATCTATTTCCCTGAGGGGAGCAATGGGGAGGGTGGTAACACAGGTGGTGGCATCTCCATATCAATATGAAAACCTCTGGGTGAGCTGAAATTTGAATCCAGCTAGATCCTTTTCATCCTCCATCTATGATCGTAAAGTGAAAATCAGGTGGTCGACTGCTCTGTTGTGCATTGGCATTTATACAGCCCACACCACCACTGGAAGCCTCTCTGGAGCTTGAGACAGCTCTCCCTAAACTTCACTGCTGCAGTGGAAAGATCAATGGCGCATTGTACTAGACAATCAGAGCCATATCTTGTCCTAAAGAGCTAAGAAAAAGTATCATTAGCTTGTTTTGAATGGATGGGAAAGCGAGGGGCAGAGGTTAAGAAGTTTGCCCATGTGCCCCAGAGCCAAGACTGAACACCAGCTTCCTGAATTCCAGCTCCAGACCTTAATCGCAAGATCATATATCCTTCCTCTTCAACTTTAACATGGCATGGCAACATAAGCCAGCAAAAAGCCCTCTGCAATGATGCTGCCCTTTCCAGCAGGCTCGCCAGCTACCCGGTGGCCAGTGAAATTTGGGCACTGAGGACAGTGCCCATGCTTGTCTTACGCTGCAGTGTTTGCACTGGGTGGGATGCTCAGCAGAAGACACTTATTTTTCCTCTTCTGAGAATCAAAAATGGCTGCTAAGGCATGTGGGCAAAGGCTCGTCCTGGAAAGGCTTTAGGCAAACACAGTGAGAGGTATTGTACGTGCTCGCCCATGACAGTACGCCTTCAGCAGCAGTTTACAGCCAAAGCTCCTGTTGCTCTTCCCTGTGGTTCCTGGCAGAGCAGGGAAGCTCTCCAAGCATGAAGGCAGGCCTTGTTTCCAGGAATCCGCAATGATGTGGTTGAAACGCACAGTTTATCCTTGGCTCGGTTTTAAAATGCAGCAAATATCTTTTTGGTCCTGGGCAAGCCTGACTGTTGGGGGGTGCCCCTAAAAGTGCAACTGGCAGGGGAGCTTTGATGAACTTGCGTGGAGATCCCCCTTGCAAACCTCCCCCTACTCCCCAAAGCATCCACCATGACCTGGCATGCTTTGGGAATACCTCAAAATACACCTTCCTTATATCCAAGCCAGCAGAAAGAGAGTCGTGTACATTGAGTGAGCAGGTTACAGTCCCTCACGGAGGGTCTGAGGAGCAGAGGCAAGACACAGCTACGAGGCAGGGCCAGCTCACCAGGCACTCTGCCACTTCTCAGCCTCTGCCCCACAGGACATGCTGCAGAAGGCCTGAAATCCCTGCTAGCTCTATGATGCACCACGCTCATTATAGCACCAACATGGCAGGGGCTTCGGCAGGTGCAAGAGCACTCTGTACTCGGTGTGTCCTCCCAGAGAGCCTCTCTATACGTGATTGCCATTAAATTCAAACTGTCTGCCTTTCACTGAGCGAGTACAGTTTCAACCACACAAGGCAAACCTCCAGCCCTTTGGCTTCTCTATGTTGCACGTTAAACTCATTAAGAGTGCCTCTTGTCTCCTTCAAGCAGTTAGGATACCAGCTTCTCCTGACTTCTTTCCAGCAATGTGAAATCCAAAACTCGCATTTTCTATTTTCACATAACCTGTGACGTGACATTAATCTGTTCTCGTTTGCTCAGGCGCTCTGGCTACGTGCAGATCATATTAGAAGAGGACCTCCCATGACCAAAGAAGACTTCTCAATGCTCTTTGCTTGGCAAGGCCACAGAAGATTGCCCCACACATCCCTCTTGGAGCAGGTCTTGGGGGCTAGCACAATGGCAGGCTCAGCCACGTGGCTCCTCTGGAGCCTGCTCTCTCCAGCTGCCCCATAAGATAATTCTCTGGGAAAGTCATGGACTCATGTTTGAGCATTTTTCTCAAGTTATCCCAGCAGTCATAAGCTCTGTACTCGCTGCTCAACGTTGACAGGTATCCCCACGCGTTGTACCCCATGAACCAGCACTGCCACATCAGAGGAAAAACACTGACAGGTTTCTGAGATTTACAAGGAGTTCTTCATTTTCTCAGCAAAGATTCCGGGAAGCTGATGAAACTGGAAGTCATCCAGCTCAGAAAGCCCAAATCTACCTCATTTCCTTAATACTTGCATTTTCCATTCAATATTTTTAGCAATTTGATGAAGCAATAACGGCAGAGAGGTTTTCTGAGGGCTGCATTTCTAAGGTCCAGCTGAGGTTCTGCCTTTCACTGGCAAACCTCCACTGGAAAACAGGCTTCACCCTGACTCAGAAAGGCAGCCTTTGTCCTCGCAGGCAGCTATGGCACATCGGCTTAACGGCCTCGGTTTAGTCTAGACGCAGAAGAAATGACAAAATGAGCTGCTTCAGCGTCACTCGCTGGAAGAGGTGTTCTTTACACATCTGCCGTTTGAGTTTAACGTTCGTAAAAAACCCAAAATTACAATTGCAGATGATTCAGTCCTTTTCTGAAGCATCTGTCAAATACTATTTCCCTGCACCAGGGAGTTTTGCCAGTGAATAGGTGTTATACACGTACCTGCCTCTCGCTCTACTCCGATCACCTCACTGGTCATGTAGGAACTATATCTGAAATGATGACGTTCTGGGTGGTTGGGTTTTTTTTGCCCCCCCTCTTTTGGTTTTACCACCTTGTGTTGTAAGGGCTGTGCATGTAGTAAGGACCTTCTTCACAGGAGCAGGGGTGGCAGAAACTGGCTTCCTGCCTCGGTTCAAGGTTCTCCCAGGTTTGCTAATCCCAAAGGTCCAGTCTAAAGCTCATAAAAACCTGGTGTTCCCACCTCGATGCAAGTCATTTAGTCATGAAAGATGTAGGTACACAGCAGTGGGAGCTAGCCACAAATAGGTGTGACTAATGCAAAACTCCAGCCAAACGTTTTTAAAAAAATACACAATTAAAAATAAAATCTCCAAACCTGGAATTAGCTAAATGAGTAATTTTGGCATTTCTAAAAGGGACAAATTTTGCTTTTTCAAGTCTTCAGCATATAAGGCCATTTAGACACTCCTTGGAAACACCTCTGGGTGAGCAAATGTGCATTCCAACCCTCTTTGCAAGCAGGGAGTAGATTTTTATTTTTCTCCACCTCTGCTGCTGAAGTCATTTTACTTCATAGAAATACTGAAATCTCCATTACGATGGAGAAAAATGTGTTTCTATTGCCTGCCCTGGTAGTCAAAGCAATACATGTTTCCAACTTCTGCTCCAGTGAAATTGTAATTATTTTTTGCAAAATGAAGCAATTTCAACAGAGGAGAACGAAAGACGTACAACCTGCAGAATAGCACAGTTGGTAAGATACTTATCAAAGAGGCAGGATTTTTCAAGTTGGAGGCCTAGCCCCAAATACAGTGGACAACAGATTAAAACCAATATTTTGATTAAATAAGGAGGAGAACAGATGGAGGTCTCAGTTTTACGTAAAGCCTTAAATACTAATGTGAAGCTAATATCGTTTCCCATTTTCCTTTGCATTCATTAATAACACCCAAATCAATATATTTTATTTTACTTGAAACCAACACTCTCTTGACTTGCAAAAAAATGTTGTTGCTTTAAAGAAGCCCT